TGAAATGAGCGAGATGAGAGAAATGAGAGAAATATATAGCAATTCCAACAACTAGCACAGGGTCGCATTTATCTTGCTATGCTATTTTGCAAAATATATACATGGGTTTCGATGATGCATATTTTGCAGCGATAGGAAATGTTGTTTCGATTGTATTTCGTTGTTGTGTGTTTGCAAGTTATGCAATCCATGCAATCCGTGCTACGTGCAATGGCTATGCAAGATTTGGAGAATACCCCTATTGTGTTTGTTTCCACATAGCATTTTTAAAATGGGATACATTTTTTGTCTTTTCGTTGCCTGTTAAGAAGTTTCTGTTGAATGATCATATCATTGTCTTATCATAGAAACACCGTATCTCACACCTTTTTTCAAATATTTGTTTCTTTATAAAAATAAAGTAAAATACGTTATTTGACAAAATATATGAATCGATCTTGGGAGATTGACTTAATTTTTGACGATTCCTTCGCCCTTCGATTATCCTTATTTCGAATGCTTATTCGTTTATTCTGATTATCTTTTTCGTTTTGATCTCAGTAAGCAATGAAAAAATTCCTTGGCAGTTAGAATAAGAATGGTAACAATAATGAAAAGATATTGCAAAACTATATATATCCATTGAATTTTGATATAAGAAATCTCCATTTACTGCCCTTTTTTAAGGACAACCGCCCAAAGGTTTGTACATCGCTAATATTACTTTTTTTGATTATAAAAGCACTCAAAATACTTTTTCCTTCATCGTTTAAATCAAAGTGGTCAACGTCTGTGTATACCACTATGCTTTCTAAAGAGTCGCAGTTGATTATTTTACATTCATTTAAAACAACTTCAGAATCTAGAAACTCCAGATATTTGAAAAAGCGTTTAAGCGAAAATCGGCAGTTTTTTACAACAAAGGTATGGCACCGTTATGGCGTCGTTTCACACAAACGCACAGTAAAGCAACAAAACAAACGCTAATTTTTGCTTTTCGCATCAGAGTGAGCTGCCTTATTGATTAGGGATTTTTCTAATATTTTCAAAGTACACAACTTCCCGAATTCCCCACACGTTTTTCTAACTTCAAGCACTTTATAACTTTCCAAATTACTTTCTGTATACCTCAAAAACTTGCTATTAAAATTAATTTCAAGTGAATGAGCTGTTTCATATTTATCCATTACTCACCAAATTTTTTTGCTTGGTATGATATGCAAAAAATCGCGTTTTTCGACAGGAAATCCCATTCGCCCTTTTTAGTCATGAAATCCCCAAAAAAGGGCGAAATTCCGCAAACTGGCAACACTGCGCCCTACATAAATTTTTGCAGAAATACCAGTCGGAAAATCAACCAATAGCCGAGTACGTTGCAGCCTTAAGGACGGACATTGGCGATTGCGAATTTTACTGTTCATGTAAAAAGCCGATTGCAGATATTTTTCTGCGCGCACAATTCATATGCGGTGTTGCGGATATTGCAGACCTATTGAATGCAACCATGTTCTCACTCAACTTATGCTAGTGTGGCGGCACTGATATCGGATCACCATATACTTATTTCATTTTCCTTTTTTACTTCATCTTCCTTTTTACGTACTTTACTAGAAAGCACGCTACTATTTATATAGAATTAAATAAACTGGATTTTCTTAACAAATTGAACATTCTTTAATTCTGTTGGACCACAACAGAAATTGGCGACGAGTATTCGGAGTATGCAGGTTGCAAGGATACTTGCAAATAAAATAATTACCACCTATGTCTTTTGGCAAGGCATTCTACACCAAGAGAAAATTTCGAGTTTTGCGACGAGAACATTCGACGCAGCCATTTTGTTAAAAAGCCGAGTGTATATTGGCAAGTCATTGCAATGGCGGACGTAAAGATCCAAGAGCTTTTGGAAATTCAAGGCAAATTGCTTGCAATGCTCGTTGAAGACAACGCAAAAGGTCGAGGAAGCCTAATGGAAAATTTGGCTAGTCGTATTGTGGATTTCTGTTACGACCCGCAAAATAACCTAACGTTCTATATGTGGTATGCACGGCACGAAGATGTGTTCATCGTTGATGGCAAAGACTTGGATGATCCAGCACGAGTTCGATTGTTAATGAGGAAGCTCAACCCTGTAGCATACGGGAAGTACGCAACGTACGTGTTACCAAAAAACCCAAGAGACCTATCATTCACTGAAACAGTGAAAACCCTGAAGGAGATGTTCGGATCGAAGGAGTTCTATTTTCAGCCTCAGATACAAATGTTTGCAATTGAAAAAAGAAGATGAAGAAGATATTGTATCATATGCGACACGAGTAAATGCATGCTGTGAAAATTCTAAGCTTGCAGACATGACAGCTGACCATCTTAAGAGCTTAATTTTTGTAATTGGGTTAAAAAGGCAAGCATGATGCTGAGATCCGTACAAAACTGTTAGCTGGTCTAGAAGACGATTCAGGTCAGAAATTGAGTAAGCTAGTCAGCACGGCAGGCCGTTTGCTAAATCTGAAAAAAGACACGGTGATGGTCGAACAGCCAAATAAAAGCGTAAATGCTATTAAGACTCAGACTACCAGAAATAAGAAGTTTGAATCGGGTGCAAAATTGAAGCAGAATAAAGTACCAAAATCTCCATGCTGAAATTGCGGAGCAATGCATTACGCAGAAAATTGCGAATTCAAAAATCACAAATGTATGATGTGCAGTCGAACAGGTCATAAAGAGGGTTATTGCAACGCACAGAGAAAAAAACCGCAGAAAGGAGCATCCCAGAGCGGTATAACACCAACCCAACTGCGACCGAAAAGCAACGCATTGCAGGTAAATTGCGTAAATTTAGCCGAACGCCGAAAATATGTCGAGGTGATTATCAAACCGATAACGTCAACAGCAGCTGGCGGGGAAGGGAAAATCTTCAAGCTACAGGTTGATACCGCTTCCGATGTGACGATAATTAGCAAAGAGAATTGGGGTTGATTGGGCAGTCCCGTAGTCAAGTTAACTAACAGTCAAGCCACGAGTGAACTTGTGAACTTCAGCTTAACGGGGAAGTAAAACCAATAAAGATTCTTGTAGCAGAGTTTGATTCTTTGAATGTTCTAGGTACAGATGCTCTTGACACTTTTGGTGTATGGGACAAGCCGCTTAGTAGTGTATGTTGTCAAATCAAGCAATCAATACCGGCCATTGAAGCTGCAGCTATAACGGACATTAAGCGAATATATGCAGATGTTTTTAGCGCTGTTCCGGCCAAATGCAGCAAGGCTGTTGTTCAGCTACATTTGAAACCAAATGAACATCCAATTTTTCGGGCGAAACGACCAGTGGCGTACACTGTACAATCTCTAATAGAGGCAGAATTGAATAGACTCGAGAACCTTGGAATCATAACACCAGTAGAATTCTCCGACTAGGCAGCGCCGATTGTAGCTGTTAGAAAAGCAACAGGCGGAGTACGAATCTGTGGTGACTAATTATCTGGGTTAAGTTCAGCACTACAACCACATCAGTATCCACTACCTACGGCGGAAGATATATATGCTAAAATTGCCAACAGTCATATATAGATTTATATAGATTTGGCAGATGCAGACGGCAGTCACGCCGGAGGCAGCAAAGTTGCTAACTATAAATACGCAACCGACTTGCACCAGGGGTCAAAAGCGCACCAGGTGCATTCCAGCAAATAATGGATACTATGTTAGCGAACATAGATGCTACTACAGCGTATATAGAAGATATAATCGGTGGGGGCTCTACATGGGAAAACCATCTACAAATCTTATTCAAGGTCTTGCAAAGACTAAGAGAGTACAACTTTCACGTAAAGTTGAAAAAACGTAAATTTTTCGCTGCGGAGGTTAAATATTTGGGAAATATTGTTTCACAGAGTGGACTATGTCCAGATCCAGATAAAATCCGCGCAATACTGAAGATGCCACCGCCTACAAACATTTCAGAACTACAATAATTTTTGGGTAGCGTAAATTATTACGGGAAAGTCGTTCGCAGCATGAGCAGTCTGAGGGCACCCCTGGACGAACTACTTCATGATAATGTAAACTTTGTATGGACATCGCATTGTCAACAAGCTTTCGAGAAGTTCAAAAGCATTTTGCAGTCCAACTTACTGCTCACGCATTATAATCCGGATCTTCCCATAAAAGTAGCAGCAGATGCATCGGACAAAGGCATTGGAGCTTTCATTAGTCATATTATGCCAGATAGTACCGAAAAAGTTATTGCGCACGCAGCATGTACATTAAGTTCAACCGAACAGAAATATTCTCAGATTGAGAAGGAGGCGCTAGCGTTGATATTTGCAGTAAAAAAGTTTCATCGATATATTTTCGGACGAAGATTCATATTATGGACAGATCACAAGCCATTACTATCCATCTTTGGTAGTAAAAAGGGTATTCCCGCATACTGCAAATAGATTACAGAGGTGGGCTCTTATCCTCATGCGGTATGTTTATGAACTACAGTACGTCAATACGAAAAATTTTGGGTGAGAGGATACTCTATCCAGGCTGATGGATAAAAATGAGCATGAAGATATGGTCATAGCATGCACATAACTGGAACAAGAGGTATTGGCCGAAGTCAACGACCAAATCAGGAAACTTCCAGTCACGTTTAGTATGGTACTAAAAGCTACAAGCAAATGTAAGCAACTACAAGCAGTTCTGAAAGCATTGAAGTCTGGATGGCCAGCGAATGTGCCGTACGAGCTACTTCCTTATCATAGACGCAAAGATTCTTTGAGTGCAGTGAGAGGATGTCTACTTTTCGGAGAGCGGATTATTATCCCAGAGTGTCTGCGAAAACGCCTTTTATGCCAATTACATCGGGGACACCCTGGAAAGGAGAGAATGAAATCTATAGCAAGAGGGCATGTTTTTTGGCCAGGCATAGACGAAGGAATCGTGTCGTTCGTACGAAATTGTCAACCATGTGCGATGGCAGCGAAATCGCCTATAAAATCTACAGTTCACTCATGGCCGCTAGCAACAAGGCCTATGGAGCTGGTGCACGTAGATATCGCTGGACGCTGTAATGGAAACTACTACTTCGTGATAATTGATGCCTACTCTAAATGGCCAGAGATTTTTCCAACCGCTAGCATAACCTCATCAGTGATTATACAAAAATTGGATGAGACATTTGCAAGGTATGGGAATGGTGACACCATCGTATCTGACAATGGAACACAATTTGTGAGCGCACAATTCCAACAATTTTTGAAGATGCGAGGAGTGAATCACGTCAGAACAGCCCCATATCACCCACAATCCAACGGACAGGTAGAACGGTTCGTGGATACTCTAAAGAGAGCGCTAACTAAGCTTAAAAGCGCGGGAACGAGTGTAGAGAACTTACAAACATTTCTACAAACGTACAGGTCCACTCCAACCGCGAATGTACCGAACGGTGAAACACCAGCAGAAGCATTCTTAAAAAGAAAAATTAAAACATCGTTGCAAAGGAACGCAAAGCAAGAGCAACAATTTAATACGAAGCACGGTGCGAAGCCAAGACACCTGGCAGCAGGGGATTTGGTTTATATTGGAACATATAAGAATAACAAAAATCGTTGGGCACCAGGTACCATTATCGAGGCACCAATTCGAGCGCATATAAATCAGTTGAAAATACGACTTGCTGACAAGGGACCACCGTCTACGGATGTTACAAGGTTTTTATGTGACAGTTTCGATCTCTACCAAGTACCACGGCACCGTCAACAAGCGGTAGATAATGGTGACTTACGTCAACCTCCAGAATCGTCAGAAAAGCATGACCGACTTGAGGTTCCAGTACAGTTACAGGATCCCGAGAGGGTCGCAGTAGAGGATCCAGCTGGTCCAGATAGATTTTCTACCCGAAATGCGCTAGAGAGGCAACCGGCAAGCGAAGCGAGACCGGGCCGAATAAACAATACGCCGACGTGGATGAGTGACTATGACGTTTCTAAACAAGGAGGGATGTTGCGGATATTGCATACCTATTGAATGCAACCATGTTCTCACTCAACTTCTGCTAGTGTGGCAGCACTGACATCGGATCACCATATACTTATTTCATTTACCTTTTTTACTTCATCTTCCGTTTTACGTACTTTACTAGAAAGCACGCTGCTATTTATATAGAATTAAATAAACTGGATTTTCTTAACAAATTGAACATTATTTAATTCTTTTGGACCACAATACGGGGGATTAAAGACAACAGCATTCGTGAGCAATTATTACAAAGGCATCGAGATTTAACAGCGTTTACAGATATCGTGTCAAAGGCTCTTGCGTTAGAAGCAGCAAAAACCGATTCGACAGAACTGTCACAAAAAATCAACCAAGCAACATCCAGCGAAATTAATAAAATTCATGGTAAGAAAGGCAAGCACCAACATAATTTTAATCAGTCACTTAATCAAAATAAATCGAAAAGTGAAAAACATAGCATTGACTTTGAAGCATTGGGCATCGACAAGTTGTGCTTAAGGTGTCGTAAAAGTAATCATTACGCAAAAAATTGTACTAGTAAACGGAATAGTCTCACTGTTATGAATGTAAAAAATCTGGCCATGTGGCCAACTCTGCATAAAAGCACGCAGGAATAATAAAAAATCAAATTGTGAATCGACAAACCGAGTCGAAAATGTGTATAATGGGGTTTTATCCATCAAAACGATTGAAGATATTTATCAAAACAGTTAAAGAAACTCAGACAGATTTTTCGTCACGGTTAAAATCGAAGGCAAACCTGTTTGAAGTCGACACCGGGTCAGGATATAGATTCTTGCCCAGAGATACATTTTCGAACTTAAACATTAATGTTCCTCTATTACCAACAAATACGATGTTTCGTTCATATACGAAAGATGTTTTCATTCCGGATGGGAAAGTTGTTGTGCAGGGGGAATATGATGGTAGGACGATAAGGGACGAAATTTATATTGTACCAGAAGAGTATACGCCGCTTGTAGGTCGTAATTGGATTCGAAAATTCAATATTAATTTGAGCGAAATCAACGCTATACATTCAAATAACCTTGAAAACGATGCAGATATAATTTCTTCGCTAAACGATAAATTTAAATCAATTTTTGAAAACAATATCGGCTGCGCCAAACAATATACAGTGTCGCTTAAGTTACGAAAAGATGCCAAACCTATATTTTATCGAGAACGTGGGATTCCGTACGCGTTAATCAAAAGTGTCGAGCAAGAGCTTGATGAGTTAGAAGCGGCAAATGTAATTTCGAAAACCGAAATCAGCTCCCCGTTGGTGGTCATACAGAAAGCAGGCGGAGGTATACGCTTATGTGTTGACTATAAAATAGGAGTAAACGAACGTCTCGTAGACGCGCATAGTCCAATAAGAAAAATTGAAGAGATACTCAACTGCTTACGTGGGTCAAAATATTTTTGTAGACTTGACTTATACAAAGCTTATCTACATATCCCAGTAGATGAAGATTCGAGTAAAATTCAAACGGTAGCTACACATCGTGACACGTACAAGGTTAACCGCTTATCATTTGGTATTAAGACGGCACCACCCGAATTAAATAGAATAATCAATCAAGTACCTAAGACGGAAGCATATTTCGACGACATTAATGTTCACGGAACAACCAAACTAGAATACGAAGATAACTTATATAAATGTTTACATCAACTTCAAAAATTTGATTTACACCTCAATAAAGGTAAATGTAGTTTTTTTCAAGACGAAATCGAGTTTCTTGGTCACACAATCAGACACAATCAAATACTAAAATCGAAAAATAAAATATCACCTATAACAGGGTTAACTAAGCCTAAATCGATTGAGGAAGTCAGGCGATTTCTCGGAATGGTTACGTATTACTCCCGATTCATTCCCAATTGTTCAAAGATCACGGCGCCTCTACGCAACCTCACTAAGAAAAATTCTAAATTTAGTTGGACGGCGCAATGTGATAAGGCATTTGAAAATATTAAAAGGGAAATAGCTACCGATCGTGTACTCGTACCATATGATCCGAAGTATCCGCTACAATTAACGTCTGACGCGAGTCCAACTGGGATTGCAGGTATCTTGTCGCACGTCATCGATGATCAGGAACGTCCCATTTCTTTTGCTTCAAGATCCCTAACAGAGTCCGAGCGGAGCTACTCTCAAATTGACCGAGAAGCACTAGCTATTCTTTTTTCAGTCGATCATTTTCCATTTTATTTGTTTGGAAAGCAATTCACGCTCGTAACGGATAACCAACCATTGGTTCGAATTTTTCATCAACACGCGAAATTGCCTCAGATGACTTTCGCACGTCTTCAAAGATACGCAGTCTTCCTCTGAGGATTTGACTATCGAATTGCTTACAAAAAAGGAATCGAGACCGTGAACGCCGATTGCTTATCGCGAGCTCCAGTATTTTCACAATCTTTAGCAGACAAGATTATTAACGAGGAGATAAACAATCTATGTGAATCAACTGTTGAGGGATAAGGAACTTTCAGCGCTGTTGCAAGATCTTCAAAACAATGGAGTGGAAAACACAATGTTTACAATAAACAACGGTATAATTTTCAGGGGTCAGCGCGTAGTAGTACTCTCATCTTTACAACAACCGGTTTTAGCAGAGCTTCATCAAACGCACATCGGTATATCAAAGATGAAAAAACTGGCTCGTAGGTATGTGTATTGGAAATCAATTGATAAGGACATCGAGCGACTAGTGAAAGAATGCATTGCATGCGGGGCTGTCAGAGCAAGTCCGCCAAAAGTAAAACTACATACATGGGAGGAACCAGAACAAAACTGGCAGCGAATCCACTTCGATTATGCAGGTCCGTTTCAAGGATACTACTATTTGGTTGTTATAGATGCCAAATCGAGGTGGGCCGAAATCGGGTTAACGTCTTCGGCACCAACATCTACTATCACCATGGAAATGTTTCTTGACTTATATGCGAGACATGGATATCCGGATGTAATTGTATCCGATAACCCAACAATATTCACCAGCGATGAATTTAAACTATTTTGCACAAGTCATGGAATTTTTCAATAGTTCTTGCACCAGGTCATCCGGCTACGAACGGGTTAGCTGAACGTAAAGTTCAAACTTTAAAACAACGTCTTAAATCTATGACAGACGGCCGCCGTTCAATACGTGAAAAGGTGAGAGAAATAATTTTTCGCCACAGAGCAACACTATTAAAGAACGGTCAGACTCCATCGGAACTATACCTAAGCAGACAAATACGTATACAACTGGATGCGCTTAAGCCCCCACATTTGGATAATCAACGCTCTTGTCAATTACACGACTCTCGTCAATTAACATATAACAGAGGGAGAGAGAGTACAAGCTCGATATTACGTCAATAACAAGAATTACTGGAAGTTGGGCACAATTATCAAAAAGATGGGTCATCTTCACTACTTAGTAAAATTAGATGATGGTCATATTTTTAAACGCCACATAAACCAATTGTATGCAACAGGAATTTCACCACGGATTCCAAAAGCTATTTCCACGTCTTCAGACATTCAGCCCAAACATCTGATGCGGAGGCCGGTTCACCAGATTTACAGGACCTTGTACATATAATATTCAGAATTCTCCGAAATAGCTATCACTTCTATAATTTTTTCGAATTATTGTTGTCTTTCCACAATAAGTTTTTCATTACAAACGGTCTCAAGCTCAATAAAAATTGTTGAATATAATTGTTATAAGGCCATAAAATAACAAAAAACAAATAAAGTAATAACTATTAATTCTAATATATCATGCTTAGCCATGCAAATAGACATTGGTCTCAAAATCACCGTACTTGATTGCTACATCCCTCCCCATCAGAACTTTAATTGTAAAGAGCTCATTGATTTAATAAATATACCTACCCCATTAGTAATCTTAGGTGACTTTAGCACCTGGAGCCCATTATGGGGTTCAAAAGTCACTAATAGAAGAGGAAAAATCATTGAAGATCTCATTTTATCCCAAAATTTATTGTGGTAAACGATGGGCAACCAACACACTTTTGCTCCCACAAATCCTTCACCCATCCTGATATCATCCTTGCTTCCGCTTCCATTGCTCCTAAACTTGTCTCTCGCACTTTAAGCGAACTACATAACAGCGACCACTTTCCCCTGATAACGTCTATTTCCGTTCCAAACTGGTACGAAGTCAAGCCACGATCAAAATTCATAACATAATGCAGACTGGGTCAGATTTCAAAGCATTGCCAATGATTTAACAATTAAAAAAACAGTGTCAAACAACATCAACGGGGAAGCAACCAATATCAAATCGATAATTCGTTCATCCGCCCACTTAGCAATACCACAAACAAGTACAAAAAAATTTTCCGCGAAGTTACCTTACTGGTCTAACTTACTTACCACTTTAAGGAATGAAAAACAAACGCTTTGGGCTACATACAAACAAAAAATGAATGATATCAACATAATACACTTCAAAAAAGCAAACACAGTTTTCAGAAGGGAGCTAAAATCAGCTAAAAGAAAATCGTTATAAAAACTGACGTCAAATATTACCCCTTCTTCGAATCCCAAACAGATTTGGTCCGACATAAAGATGCTGACCGGTTCATCTCCTCGTTTTCACATACCATTCGTTTATAATGGGCAAGACCCTTTCTACGATCCACCAGAAATCGCCGAACAATTCGCCAAATCATGGTCATCCTACTCCAACAACTCCAATTTTCATCCCACATTTAACACTCAAAAAAACCATGTAATCCTTGAAAACTACTCAAACTCTTCCCCTTCACCACAAGCCTCCTTAATAGAAACGCCAATCTCCAACTTACGAATTTGACTCCACGACTTTGAAAATGTGAGGAAAACACCTGGTGCAGATATAATATCACACACTATATTGAAAAATCCACCCTACTCCTTAAAGAGCAGGCTTGTGAGACTTTATAATGATATTTTCACCTCAGGAGTGTTTCCCCAAGAATGGAAATCTGCCTTAATAATCTCC